TGGGATTCGCTCCTTCACATTGTCTCTCATGCCTGCTTACCACCAGATACCAGCTGACCCATCTGACATCCTAAAAACTGCGTTGATCAGACCTTTGGGTTTCTTTGAGATTCTTCGCATGCCCTTTGGTTTGCTAACTGCCTCTCAAACTTTTAAACGTTTCATTAACAATGATGACAGAAGTTTGGAGTCTGTGTTCGTTTACCTCATTGTGAGTACTAACGGAGATGAACACCTCATCCACTTGTCTGTGATAGGATTTGTCCCCACGACATCACAATGAATACGGAGTTTGGCCGCATCTTGCTCGCACTTTCTGGTCACACTTTAGATCAGAGTGGTATCTGCTTGATAGAATCTAAGGTCGAGGTTATACGTCACATCGCCGTCCTCACAACGGCTCAAGATCTGAGATCTTTTCCCCGGTTGGAGAACTTTTACCGTCGTTTTATCCCACGTTGTGCTGAGATCAGTCAGTCCATGACTTCCCCCGCTGCAACCCGAAATTGGTGACCATTAATGACGCGACCCTTCAAGCCTTCAACACCGTCAACTCTCTAAGCTCAGGATTCTCCGGATGCGACTCGTAGCCTGATCGTTGATGCTCCCGATGTTGCTGCACGTGCTGTCCTCCAAAAGCTCGTTGGCAGTGAGTGACCAGCTTTACGCTTCTTTACCCGTCAGTTCTCGGAAGCCGCACAACGCTATAGCTAAAGGTCAATGTGTACGGCCACAATTACACTTCCACTGGTAGTTTTGCATACCTTGATGCTAGGTTCAGTCATGTTCATCTAAATATAGTCGGACCCTATGAGCCTTCAAACGGCTTGGTTTATCTTCTCACCTGCATCGACTGTGTTGCACGCTGGTAGGGGGGAATTACGATTCCCAATGTTAATGTCACCACTATTGTGAAGGCCTTTTCTGAACGGCAGACTGCTCAGTTGGAATCTTTATTGATTAATACTTTGACCGCCTTTCATGGTGGTCTCCATAGGCAGACCACAGCCTTTCATTCGGCGGCAAACCGCTGGGTTAAGAGATTTCACCGTCAGCTCTCCTTATACGCTTCCCATTCCTTTGGACGAAACTCTTCCTATAGTTCTTCATGGAATTCGTAACTCTCTCAAAAAGGATCTTGTGTACGGCAGCGGAGTTGGCTTTTTGGAACCACTTTGCGCCTGGAGATCACATCTCTCCTTTCACGCTAGAGAAGTCAAAAGACAGACAACCATCTTGAGCTTCGGGCTTCACATGGAAAAATTGACATCTACTCAACCGCGCCCATAGTCACGAGGCGTTTGTTAATACAGATTTGACCCACTAAACTCTTGTCTGGGTAAAATTTGATGGTGCCAGACCTATTTAACCACCATCGGGAATCCAAATTTCTCATTATTGATCGCAATGGCAAAAGGGATAGTGTTTCGTGGACCGATTGAACCCTACCTACTTCGGTTCTCTTTGCGATTTTTCATTCCTACCTTCTGTAACCTAGCTATTTTCTTTCTCTAATCCCCGTTTGGCGACAGCGCCAATTACGGACTCGACCCTACTTTCTACTCTACGCACTAGCACTTCCACTAGGTCTGACTGAACAGTCTGTTTTCCATTTGAATGCGCCGAATGACGATTAGGGCGAACATGTAATTCCCGTAGTCGTTTCATTTTTTCGTCTTTTTTGAGGTCATAAAGCATTTTGCAAAACGTACCTTCTCCGTCAAAAAGTAACAAAACCAGTGAGCTCCTAAACAATGTTGAAAAACTGGAAACAACAAAATAGAAGTTTTCCGTGCTACTATTATTATCCGGTATTTATGCGTTGCCAAGCATTCGACTCCTGCATATTTTGTGCCTTTCCTTTTCACGAGTGTGCTGTTTTTCAGAGCTAAACACGCTGCTCTGAAGATTCACTACGTGAAAACTTTTCAGTGAGTTTCACAGAACTATTTCACTCGCCACATGCTATGAACAGTTCTTCAGAATTTTAACACAAACTGCTCCTTCTTTCATCGCTCTAACACATAAGGTGAGGACCAAGTGTGGGAGACTCCCAGTATGCAACTCGTAACGGGTCTCCGTCACAGTCTTGCGCCTCCATCACGAGTCGTTGGACAGTGTCCGACGCATTTGGCCGTAGTCGATCTGTGCAAACTACTATAGAAATAATAAAATCAACTTGCATAGTCTGGCTGCATATAGACACTTAGACGAATTGCTTGGGCTTGTTGGCCATAGCCGTTCGCAATACAATTCGTTTTGATTTTGGACTGTATATTATGACTAATTCTTTTCCTGGCTAGAGCTTTCCTAGTGTCACCACACATAAGTAGGCTTTGACACAAAACAGTTGTTTAATCTGTGCGTTGAAAGCTTCTTACCGATGGAATTGAAGTCCGGCTTCAGACCGACAGTGCAACATACTCGAGAGCTACCAACATCTTTGATCTGCCCATTCCGCATGTATGCTTTCACATGATTATAGCATTCGTTTGTGCACTCTTCTTTACTAGCATGGATTCCACCTGGATCGCCGATATCCTGAAATTGCTTTTTTTAGCTTGGTATTCAAATTTCATCTCAGTATCACCTCCAGTGAAGTTTCTTTACTTGAAATGGCGCGTGACTTCAGGGCTACATCTTTGCTTGCTAAGCCCTTCGCTTTCGGATACTCTCAAGCGCAGTCAGGCCAAACTTACCCTTAACCAACTGTTTGTGATATCTGCCGGGTTATCGAGAATCGCGGGGTATTAGAACTTGGATCGCTTCTACAGGCCACAAGGTAGCATCCAATCTCTGAAAAACCCTTGAGATTCGCATAAATCATACATGCTGTTTTCGAAATCGGAACGCAAACAAACCATATCGCGTGAGCAGGTATCTTACTGGTATGGGTTTGACGTTACGGTTCGTAAGCCAATTTATTCAGTGGCTAAACGCTCTAACTAAACATAAATGTTGACCCTGAGATCATCCATGGATCGATCGATTGCTGGATCAGCATTTTCAGGTCTACGCCCGGTTTTTATGACATGCAAGTGGATACATTCATCGGAGTTCCTTAATGGACACCAAAGGTGACGCTAGATAAGAGAAAAAGGATTTACATAACCAACACGAAAACAGTAACCTACGGATCAAGGAGAGGAGGAGATTCGTCAGGATTTTCACGTGAACAGATAACTTGGATTGCACATATTTATGTCAAAGCTTAAGGTGGCATCTCAAGTAGAAACTCCGAGACACTACAGGTATCACAGTTCCTCAGTCTTTGTAAAAAAACTTATGAGTGACCCTCAAAAAGCGAATTTCCCCCAGAGATGTTGGCAGCCACATACGAGTACAAAAAACGCCTAAGGAATGCATCTCTCAAGCCACTTAAATCTCTCTTCCAAATTTTGAGAGTTGAGCTCCAATATGAAGCCTGGGCAGATAGAATAACTAGAGCAGTCGAACGTATACCTACAAGGAAGTGACGTTAGAAATGTGAGACAACTTTGTTGTGAATTTCTCGACCCCACTGCCAGCGTGAGAATCGCGTTTGAAAAATGGACTTCGTTAGAACGGACTCTGATTTCTTGAGCGCAAGCTCATACTGCCTTGAGGTTTATAAGACAAGAATGTTAGTCCGTGATATGAGCAGACGCTTCGTGTAAGTTCAATCATGAGTATTGTTTACCAACATATCATAAATGGAAAGATACATAGACCATTACTTGCTTCGTTAACGCTCGGACCGGGAGTAGCATGAAATATTCAAGCATGTCTACCGGAAGATAACGGATCACGCAAGCAGGCAAGCAGCGAAAGAAAAAATAAAAACATTGGAATCTGAAAAATGTGCATTTTCCAATTTTACCGGATACATACGTTTTAGATGAATGAGTAGCAACATCGGGAGCAATAGGATTAACACAATCGGAAGAAAAATTTCAATATCCTTGTAGTAGCCATGCAAATAACACTTGTGATGATAGTGACTTAATACGAGTAATAATACATGCTCTGCACAATACAAATGACATGAAATGGAACGGAGATGAAGGAATCTGTAGAAAAACGGAGCCGAATGGTGGTAGTGGTGTTGATATTTGTGAAGTCGGCTAAAAAGGCGAAAGAGTAGATAGGAGATAGGAATTGATCCACACAGGGTCAGGTTGAAGAGCAATGATCTGAAACGTTAAAATTCGGGTAGATAGTGAAAAAATGCAACGACAGCTGTGATGAAATAGAGCTCATCACAAATGTGAGGAGTGAATGTGCTGGAAATGTTTTACACGGGTGGGGTCAATTCTGTTGCACAAAAAGGTCATACAAATAGATACAAGAAAACCATCATCGCGAGTCCGAATGCTGCCAAGGTGCTTCTTCCACACATGAGTATAGTTGAGTGATCAGGACCGAGCCAAATACTGAAAACGAGTGAACAAAAAGTGACAGTGACAAGATAAACATAAAAGATAGTGACAACACCGCCATAGCGCGTTGCGATACCGCACCCAGTAAACACGACCGAGATTCATTACTAGCGAATATTGGTAAGCGCTATTTTGCAAAAAAGAGCCTCTAGTAGAATTGCTGGTTCTCATCTGACATAATGAATCACAAACAATTAAATGAAAATTTACACTCACTCCTACACTTGAAAAGCTCACCTTTCTATGAAAAGCATTTATGATTTTAGCCGGATAACCAATTCTCTTGAGGATTTCTCAAGTCCTTTTCTACGCGCTGCAGCATATATATATATATATATATATATATATATATATATATGACAATTTTCAAGTTTTCAAACAGACTTAAAAAATCAGTTTTGACATGGTGACTTCATGTACAATAAATCCTTGGATTGAGATTCCTCCCTTTTGCTGTAATTCATGCATCTTCATCACACAATAAACAGACTAACAAGACTCGTATCTAATCTGCAAAGACCAGAGACTGTACGTGGAAGAATGGCCTGAAAAAAATCAAGACAAATGACTACGATTACTTACTTCCTTCACAGTAGTGTTGATAAATTCTTTTTTATTTGTCAAATCCACGCCCGGGTACCGGGAGAAAATCTGATGAGACGAGGAAAAACAATATGAATTGCATGAGCACATGAAACTGTGGATTGCCGCATACTCTTTCAAATACCTGGAATGATAGGTGATCATAGAACTGACGTATCAAATCTGTATTGCCCCCATGCAATTTCGCGAAATCGCTTTAGGATGCAATCCATGAGACCGTTTCTTAGGCAATAACGGGACCTGGTCATCATCATTGTACAGCGTAATACAGTGAAGGGAACTTCACTGATCGCTGCCAAACTCATATTGCATACAAGGTAAGTGATAATGTGTAAGGACAGGGATTGGATCTATTTCTAGGTACGGGAAAAGAAAGCGAACCTCTATGGTCAACACACAGAGTACACGGTTCAACTGTGAACACATACTATTTCAAGCCTTCTGGTCTGATAAGAAGTGACAGCAAGCTCGCCATTGCCGTCGGTTAGCAGCCATGGCCTTCAGTGTCTCTAACCATGCGGTTTCGGAGTCTTTTGGACCCCAACCCGGAAGACGAGAGACACCTACTTTACCTAATCGCTCTGTGCATTTCTTTATGCCTCGTCTCCACGTAATCTGCTGGCCTCCATGTGGCTTTCTCTGGCCTGTAAAAGCCACTGCAAACAAGGCGCGTTGCGGTAGGCGACCGTCCAACATACGCGAAACGTTTCCTAACCAACGGAGCTGGATTCGATGAGATAGCGAGTTCTTGTCTGATGTATTCTCAACACCCGACGACTGACTTCCAAGTTACCAACCCGCTCACTCCATCCCACTTGGGCTAGACTACGTAAGCATCGATTGTCGAACAATGCTATACGATGGGTGTCTTCTACCCGCAAATTCAAGGTCTCACAACCGTAAAGCAGAACTGATCGTACAGTGGCGCAGTATACGCGACTTTTCAACTTTAGTGACCCGTTACGTCGCCACCAAAGGTGTTTTAGTCCTGCGTACGCTGCTCGAGCCTTGGAACTGCGGGTTGTTATCTCCTTCGATGCGCTACCGTCATTGGTCACGCAGCTACCCAAGTGCGAGAAGCAGTCAACTTCAGCTAATTCCTGACAGTCTAGTTTCAGAACAGAACTCGGCGACATCCAGCCTTGTAGCACCACTTTGCACTTTGAAGATGCAAAGCACGTGTCGCACGTAGCGACATAACTTGCCAATCTGTCATGTGCTCTTTCTGCATCTTCCATACATTTGAACAAGCAGACGATGTCGTCAGCGTAGTCTAGGTTGCACCGCTTTTCTCCAACTGCCCATTCAATACCTACATTTTGGAGACCACTAAATGCGTTCTCCAGTATTCTGTCTATGACGAAATTGAACAGAAATGGCGAAAGACTGCACCCTTGACGAATATCGCTCTTACTTAGGAACGACCTGTTCAGCTTGCGTTGACTCTTACGCTACCAGAGGTACGTGAGTAAAGTCAGCATGTTCACATACTTCTGCGGCATTCTCCTGTGAACAAGCGAACCCATAAGAGATTCACGATCAATTGAGTCGAAGGCTCCTTTTAGGTCAAGAAACACGACAACCGTTGGTCGACGGTGCGTATGGCGTAGCTCGAGGACTTGATGCAGGGTGAAGATTTGGTCGATACGACCGCGACCTGGTCGAAATCGTGCTTGTTGTTTGCGGATGTTTGTCTCCCTAAGCGGCGTCAGACGTCGAAGTATAATGGAGGCTAGTAACTTCGTGACGATTGGGATCAAACTTATTCCACGGTGGTTTGCGCAGTCGTTGCGAGATCCCTCCTTCAAAATTGGAACTATCAGTGATTCGCTCCACGATGATGGAATGCGCTCATGTGACCAGATGTTACGCATTAGATCACTAATGGAGTCTACGAGGTCATCACCTCCCAACTTGAAAAGAGTGGGAGGAAGCCCGTCTGGCCCTGTTGCTTTTCCTTTCTTCAGGGCTTGGATGCAAGAACGAACTTCTGCTGTAGTAGGAGGTTCAGATGTAACAGCCCACGGAGCTTCAGCTACACTGGAGGAGATAGCCTGGTTAGCGCCTGGCCAGCTGAACTGCTCGTTGAAGTACTCCGCCNCCTACCGGTCAAGCCGTTGTTGTTAATAGCCTGTCTACTTTTGTCGTAGACTGTTTCACTAATTGTAGTTCGCCGACCTCCCACACTGCGTATCAGTTGGAACAGTCTTTGACCATCCCCTGATGCAGCTGCTACTCCTATTTTACTAGCTATCGTTGCCCATCAGTTTTCAGTCTTTCTTGAGACTCTTCAGAGTTGACGTTGCTGACGCCTTGATCCCGGGTGGTTGGTATTTGCCACTTTTTCTCAATCAGTGAGACTGACTCATCAGATATCCAATGCCTCACGCGAAAGGTTAAGCGATGATCTGCCAATCGAGTTTGGTGGGATTTTCCGCGACCACTGAGTCGGAGAGTGAACTGCATCAAAACTAACGCATGGTCAGATTCAACGCAAGTGGTCCAATAGGACCTGCAGTTTTGTACTGATCCACGCCAACGGTAGCTTACTGCTACGTGGTCGATCTGAGTTAGCGTGCCAGTCGCATTGGAGAGCCACGTTGTTGTGTGTAGAGAGCTGTCGGAAGTTGGTGCTTGATGGAAAAGATAATGATAAGTGCAGAACTGAAGAAGTCGTTCGTCATTTTCTGTTCGCTGGTAGGGTAGAGCACAATGACCGCCTAGGCAAGCTTCGGATGCGCTCAGTTTTCCAACTTGAGCGTAAAATCACCTGCGAGAACAACTATATCGGCGCTTCGGCTCAACCGAATGAGTTCGGTGAGTTTATCATAGAACTCATCCTTTTGTGCCTCAGAACTGCAGTTGGTCGGTGCATACACTGAAATGATGAATAAACACCTTTTGGTGTTGCTTCCCTTCCGGACGCTGATAGCCCTTTGGAGCCGCATCACACATAAGCAGCTGTTGACGGGGATTCAATCGAGTAGTGCGGCTTCCGCTGTATTGTTGAGTACAATGATTACACTACGCTGGCCTAATGAACGGGCTTCGTCATCATCTGACGTGCGGAGGAAGAACCTCGAAGACAACTCCGGTGCACTTCAGTGGCATATAGTACTAGGATACTGGATTCGAGTCTCCGACACGCAGCAGACATCAATCCCCAGAGTCCATTGTACGCGTCAGACACGCGAGTAACGAACAAGTGTGAGGGGATGTTATGGGTCGTTAGAAGAGATAAAGGGCAAGCGTTGGGTACAGAAAGACTGGGGCTTTTAGATGGTACTAGTTTCGATGTACTTAGCACTGATTAGCAACTTCATGGATATGATGTAGGTTTCGTGAACAGAGTACTCAGAGGAGATTCGATTTGTTAGCCAGAAGTTGTATCCATACCTGTATTGGAAGACGTATTTACCTTTTCTGTATCTCGAAATTAAATGCCTATAAACCTTCCATATCATATTGTAACATTTCCCCACTAGCAGGTAGCCGTTCACGTCAATGAAATGAAAGAACCTTTTCAAAGATGACGTCAGGCTGCTCAGTTTCAGTTTTCCCAACGATAAACCTTGAATTGTTGTGACTAAGTAGTGTTTACGACAAAGAAGCATCAGGGCAAAAATTTAGACGGATAACGTATTTAGCACATAGAGTATAAAAACCCTCTAAGGTTTGTAAAGTTAGATAAGGGCCAAAAATAACATGAAGATGGGAATAAACCAGCACCAAGCTGTTCACTGCCTACCACGTCGATCGTCCCGTCCCATAGCAATCCGTTATTGTCAATCCACTTAATCTTGAAGGTTAACTCAAACAACTAAGCAACTTACATTTTCAAGCACTGACATCCCATCTACTTGTCCCTCGAACGGATGTTTTCGGTTCTTTTTTTCTGTCCTTGTAATGAATCATATCGCTTCATACCTTATGTGATTGTCCTCTTACTCCTCTGAAACAATTGCATGTGCATGAATTCAAAGAATGCCAGTAGGATAAAACCCTAACAAATTGGATTGAAATTCGCAGTCTGAACTTTCTATACAGTTAATATTTTTCAAAAAGTCATCGAGAAACGTGGAGAATGCTCAAACAGTTCTGTGGTTCTTCTGCCAATGGGTACACTCTGTCGGCAGGCAGTGAAGATATAAATCATGGCTTCGTCAGAAGAGCTAGACCCAGATCCATTTATCATTCCACTACATGTTATTGATCTCAGTCTGGAGTCATCTTTATGTAAAATGAGATGTAATATGAAAGAAACTTAAATCATGATATCAAGACAATACTGGTAAGCTAGATTACAAGTGATTGTGTTAAAAGAATATACCAACACCCTCTCACACACACTGTCTTCAATAACCGCCTTTCTCCATATTTAANTATTTAAAACCTGATTACTGGTGAGCAGTCAGCGTGAGCTCAATTAACATACCTGCTCGCGCACTAACTTCAACGAGGTCTCCTCGAGATTTACTGTTTTCAATAACTCGATAATGCTGCGCTTCAGTTCAGCGTCTGAAGGCGCCGTATTTGACTTCGATGTCGTTAATGCAGAAAGCGGCATGTCTTCATCTGATTCTGCCTCACCACTTGCAGATGACCCAGTTTTGGTGACAGATTTATCAGCTTTCTCGTCCTCGCTTTCTGAATCCAGAGCAGCTGCACTGGCTCGCTTCCGCTTCGGCTTTGGAGTCGGGGCAGGACGAGTTGATTTACCCGGAGGTCGTCCTCGCTTCTTTGCAGGTTTCTTGGGGCTTTCTTCGTCCTCGTCTTCATCGGCATCGGTCTTGCGCATGCTGGGACTTGACGCACCATCGTCCGAAATGCTATCATTTTCATCTTCAATATCTACACCGGACCGACTGGTACCATCTCCGCTTACTTCACTGGATGTGGTTCGACCGGAGCCTGTCTTCGACCCGCGGGATTTCCGTTTTCCGTGCCCGTCAGAGTCACCCTTTGGGCGACCACGACCTGGCTTAGAGGGCAATTTGCCTTTATATTTGACCATTTGAGCTTTAGGGTGTAGAAGAAACTCCAACAAACGATCGGTCAATTGATCTCGTGTACCGCTGACCTCTAAATTTAGTATGCGCAAGGCCTCGCGCAATTCCGATGTTGATCGACTGGGGGAAAATGGAGAAAAGCAATAGTTTTATATTTCGTTTACAAGCGTGTAGAGTTTAGGTACATGAATACAACGTTCTGGTGCGTAATCCACACAGACAAAATACGACCGCGAATGAGCTATTAGATCCGATAAGTATTCAAGTGCACAGCTATAAAAAGTTAGTTTACGTTACGTTGCTTCATATGAAGTAACCTGAACTTCTATGCTATACAAGGTACGGGAACCCTAAGCTGGTTGATTGGAATTGTGAAACATAGGTCTTTCAACGGTGACAATCTGCATATCTAAATCCTTCCGTGCAATGACATCCGAAGTTGCACCGTTCTGTTATCATGAGGGTGGGGTTTGTGCGTGGAACAAAAACAGAACATCTCACAGAAAAACCTGGAAATAATCTGATGGAACAACTTACTTCTGAATCTGGGTGACTTTTTTCTTGTACACCTCCGAACCTTCAGTGAATCCAAAACCACGGAATTTTCGTAAATTTGATCGGATTTCTGTGGCTGCTCCTGGTCTACCGTAAATTATGGTATGTAATCCCTTTAAATTGATAGGTTTGTTTTTACGAAAAGCAGCTTCAATGATTGGAATATCACCCAGAGGAGTTCCCGTGCCAGTTTCAAAGACGCTGTTCAACTCTTTTGCTACTTTTGCCTTTTGTTCTACCTGCTCAACATGAGCTTGACTCCAGGTTTCTGAGAGCCGCTGAACTTTTTTCCGTTCACGTTTTTCACTATGTATGGTTTCGTGACCATTAGAGGGTCGAGCTTCTGGTTCAGCGTTACTGTCGTCGTCCGAGCCAGAATCCATATTGTCGCTTACTGATTGATGAGCTGAATAGAAAAATGGAACCAAACAATAAAAAATTTTAGATTAAAAACAACCACATAATGGTAATCCAATAGTCTAATCAGAATGCTGAAGCTAATGTAGCTAATGTAGATAATGAAGTACAATGAGGAAAGTGAACCACAGCTTTAGTGTGCATGTACAACTGTTAACCGAGCGACTGCTTAGTTTTCATGTCTTATCCCCATTCAACTCGTCAGGAATAGATCCTTCAGTGTGCTGAACAGCGTAAGTGGTAAACCCTATTGTCAACTATTGCACGATTATGGGAGCCACGCTTGAAAACCAGTGATTAATATAAGTGAACCACAGAGGTTCTCAACAGGAATGACATGCTATTGAGCTGGACGACAATAAAGCCGTTAACAACCAAATTTGGGTGTTGGCGGCAAGGCTTGTAACTCAAACCTAAGGCAACCAAAGGATACCATTGACAGCGACCCAAATCACTGGACCACTATCATCACCAAAGTGATAGGAGGCTGAGAAACAGATAAAATAATCTTTCATTGTAAAAATATGTAACTGCATGTTGTGATTGAATGCTAAAGATTCATGCAAGCATTAAATGCGCGCACCGTGCCTCAAAACCTCCCGTGAACACACCGATCTTTGAGATTTAATTGAGCCAAGGAGGTCTGGGGAGTTAGTCGTAAAATTAACACTTTTGTGCACCGGAATGGCAGTCAGTGGCAAACAACATCGATTAAACAAACAATACCAATTGGGGCTTTCTTTTTTTAACACTGATCGACCCTTAGATCTGCATTGCACAGTACCTTCAAAACCTAGTCCATTAGCGGAGCTTTCGCTCCGGTCAATGTAATACCCGCTTCGTACTGAGTATCTGTTATAACGAACTGTAAGATTCACATTATCGCCAGATGCATGGAGTATTGTTGTGATATGTATCTAGGGCCATTAATGCACTGCAAAGTTCCAGTTTCACTTTTGAGAATCCCTCATGTTTGTGTGCCGGTTTTAATCATTGACTTTATGAAGCAACAAAGGAGTAAATGGAATAAAAAAATAGCATTACCCAGAAAGAGAAAAGATATCTAGATGAGTAGATGCACAAATATCATTGTTTACAAGAGCAATATCACTGCTTTCTAATTATGGACCACGTTGTTCACGAGGACCACCAACGGGTGCTGCCTACATAAGTCTCCTGGTCAGAAGTTCCACACCCTCACGCCAAGTCATATTTTGACCAATCTTGTCCTTTGTCCCACAGCATGACGAGGAAAACATTGCACATCAAGAAAGACTATTCTGTGACATACTTCTCTTTTACTTTTATTATCCAATGCAACAGGTAATACATGCGGCAGAAACAACAGCAACAAGAGTTTCAATTCAGTTTGTACAAATTAAACATGTACTCACTACGATTGTCTGATATTCCTCGCCTAACCTGGGCATTTATTATCCGGTTATCCCGTTAAGCTCTTGCAATGTGGCGAAGACAGTCGTGTGTGAACGCCGATAGATTAGTTTGTTCTCCGTAATGACCGTCTCTTCATCACCCAGCTGCGGTATATACTCGACCCTCAACAAGCATCCGAAGTCAAATGTCTCAAAACGACGCATGAAACCGGGAAGAAACTTTGCGATCAAACTTTGCTCTAATTCTTCCATGGTTGTCACGAGACGTATCATTCTCGTTCCTGTGCACCGATAAAATAACGAATTGATACCATTCACCTGGAAACTGTTCTTCAGCCTCCGAAAGACTCAGTATGATACGGGGGGTCTTGGGTTGGGGCCGATTACCTTTCCCTTACAACGAGTGAAATGCTCCTGTATAACCAAGCGTCTCAAATCGCCTCTGTTGAAGAAGCCTTACTCACTGATTTTCCGTAGCGGTGTTTTCCCACCCCAGTGAGAGGATGAGAAGCCAATATACGAGGCTATAACCGAGTCGGTGAACCACTGGCAGTTCACCTAGGAGAATTGGCTAAAAATCCTGATTCCGAAACAACGAAGATGTGTGTACGAACCACACACATAAAACACCTTCCTATTTTGATAGTGATCACTAGCTTAGTTGGGCATTTAGGTACATTGGGCACCTTGGACGTTTGATTCCGTCCGAGGGGCGTATGATTCAGCAGCAGCAGCATCATCATACACGGAAATACAGTGAGGTAAACTTCATTGATCGTTGCCAAACTCGTAATGCATACAAGATTAGTGGTAAAAATTGAGGTGGACAGGGATTAGATCTATTTTGAGGAAGGGAGAAGGTGAACCTTTATGGTCAACACAGAGTACACAATCGAACGCTGCTTACATACCGTTTCAAGCATTCGGGCCTGACAAGAAACGACAACAAGAACGCCACTGCTGTCGGTTCGCTGCCATATCAGTTAATGTTTTCAAACAACTGGCTGAGGAGTCTTCCGGACCCCAACCCGGAAGATGAGAGACACCTACTTTACCTAATGGCTCTGTGCATTTCTTCATGCCTCGTCTCCACTTCATCTGTTGACCTCCACGTGGGTTCCTCCAGCCCGGATTAGCTGCAGCGAATAAAGCGCGGTGCGGCACACAGCTAGGTATACGCCATAGGTGTTTTAGCCAGCGAAGTTTACTAATCTGAATACGGTGTGCTAGCAGGTTTATCCCTGATCAACACCCAAACACACGACGACTTAACTCCACATTACTAACCTGTTCGCTCCATCCCACATGAGCTAAACTACGTAAACAACGATAATCGAAAACTTCTGGTCGATGGGTATCTTCTACTCGCAAATTCAGTCTCACAACCATAAAGCAGGACTGAACGAACGGTGGCACCATATATGCGACCTTTCAATTTAAGTGAAACGTCGTGTCTACGCCAAAGGTGTTTCAGTCCTGCGTATGCTGCTCGAGCCTTGGAAATGCGGGCGGTTACCTCCTTTGCTGCACTGCTGTCATTGGTCACGCAGCGACCCAAGCAGGAAAAGTAATCCACCGTAACTAATTCCTGGCCATTTATTTTCAGAGCTGGAGTACGCGAAACCCAGTTCTGCTGCATCACTTTGCACTTTGAAGGTGCAAAGCACATACCGAATGTGGTAACAGCACTTGTTAGTCTATGGAGTGCGCCTTGCGCAGACGGTGTCATCGATGGAATCCGAATCGCAGCTTTTTTCCAGCTGCCCACTCAATACCTACGTTTTGGAGTCCAATAAGTGCGATCTACGACGAAAGGCGAAAGACAGCATCCTTGAAGGACACCGCTGCTGGAGACGAACGGACTACCTAGTTCGTTGTAAACCTTTACATGACCGGAGTTATGTGAGTACAGTAGGTTAACGTACTTCTGGGGCATTCCCTTTCGAAGAATTGAGCCCATCAGAGCTTCGCGGTCAACTGAGTCGAAGGCTCATTTCAGGTCAAGAAACACTGTGATCATTGGCCGACGGTGGGTGTGACGTAGTTCAAGGATCTGATGCAACGTAAAAATTTGATCCGGACATCCACGGCCAGGCTGGAATTCCGCTTGCTGTTTACGGATGTTGGTCCCTTTTAAAGGCGTCGAAGTATGATTGAGGCTCGTACTTTGGTGACGATCGGGATCAAACTGATCCCGCGGTGATTTTCGCAATTGTTGTGAGAACATTTTTTGAAAATGGGAACAATCAGTGATTCGACCCGAGATGAAGGAATGCGCTTTTGCGTCCAAATGTTGCGCAGTAAGGTAGTACAGCTTACCAGGTTATGCCCCCCCCTCTAACATCTTGAAAAGAGTGGAATGGAGCTCATCCGGTTTTGCGGATGTTCCTCGCCGCAGAGCCTGAATGCAAGACCGAACTTCTGCTTCCGTTGGAGGATCGCACGACACTATCCAAGGAGCTTCAGACGAAGCAACCTGGTTAGCACTAGGCCAGCTGAACTGCTCGTTGAAGTATTCTGCCTAACGATCAAGTTGTTGATCCCTATTGTGAATAGCTTATTCCCTCTTGTCGCAGTGTTTCACTAACTGGAGTTCGCCAACCTTCCGTATTGCGTCTAAGTCGGAACAGTCTTTGACTATTCCCTGATAAAGCTGCTACTTCCATTTCATCAGCTATTGTTGCCCACCAGTTCTCACGGTCCTTCTTGAGGCTCTTTGTGAGCTGGCGTTGTAGATGCTACCTAAGTCTATTTTGATTCTGGCAGGTCGAGATTTGTCGTTTTTTATCCAACAGGGTTACTGACTCCTGAGATATCCAATACCTCCGACGGAATTGAGGCTCAGACCCAGACGCAACATTCGCTGCGGAATGCATCACTCGTCTAATCTGATCCCACTGCTCATCTACATCATTGGGTTGAGACGCGCTTGGCCCACGCACTAGATCTGATGCATAGCACACACGAACTGCTGGAACGGATAGTAGATGATGAGCTTTCCGAGTTTGTTGAACTCGTCAGTAGGAGAGGGAACTGCATCAAAACTAATGCGTGGTCAGATTCAACGCAAGTGGTCCAATAGGACCTGCAGATTTGCACTGAGCCACGCCAACGGTAGCTTACTGCGATGTAGTCGATTTGAGTTAGCGCACCAGTTGCACTAGAGAGCCACGTTGCCGTCCGTTGAGAGCTGTGTCGGAAGTTAGTGCTTGATAAGAACAGATGATGATCAGCGCAGAACTGAAGAAGTCGATCACCGTTATCTGTTGTTTGGCAGGTAGAGCACAACTTCCGCTTAGGCAAGCCTCCGATGTGCTCAGTTTTCCAACTTGCGCGTTGAAGTCACTCGCAAGTATAACTACGTCGGAGCTTCGACTCAGCCGCATGAGGTCGATAAGTTCATCGCAGAAAGCGTCCTTTTGAGTATCAGGACTGCAATTCAGCGGTGCGCATACCGATACGATGAACAAACACCGTTCGGTGTTGTTTTCCTTCTGGAAGCTGATTGAACCCCAGAGACACTGCACACAAACGACTGTTGACCGGAACTCAATCGATAAGAGAGGGCTCGACCCTGTTATTGAGTACAATAC